TTTCTGATTGGTTCTGGACACACAGTCACTGCAGGATACTGCTTTCTGATTGGCTGGCTACAGACAGTCACATGGTTAGCTTAGCATAAAGACTCACGTGACGTCTGAAGAAACTCAGTCGAGCTCGATATTTTCTCCTCGCCAACCACATCTTCACCAACGACTGGATCTGTTCCACAAACATTATTAACACTGATATTAACTTTATTATTATTAGAACACATATTACATCATCAGGATGATTGACTCTGATCAATAACTGATAATCAATAATAATATTCAGCTGTTTCAGACGATGAAGAGTTGGTTGATACCTTCACAGCAGCTCTCCAGTTCATGTATAGAAGCTGCAGCCGACGTCTGTACGACCTCTGCTGGACAAATCTCCTCCAGTGAGCCTGAGACAGACAGACAGACAGAGAGACAGACACACAGACAGACCGACGTTCTAATGTTTAACAACTGTCTCACAGTCACATATTTTAAGTCAACAGAAAGATTTAGATATATTCTGTTTTTATATCCTCATTATAATATATGATATATAATAAATAAATAATATATAACATAATAATAATAATATATATATATATATATATATATTATTATATAATACAATATATGTATATATGTATGACTACCAGGTGCTGTTTGAACGTTCTCACCTGGATGATGACCACAGCAGGTGTGTGAGTGATCAGGTAACGCCGTCGAGCCTCCAGCTTCTGTCTGAGCAGGAATCCTCGACAGACAGCCTGCAGACGGACGACGAGGGCTTCACTGCTCTGCCACAGCACGCTGCGAGTGTACGAGCCCGAAACACTGCTGACTACTTCCTGCACACGTGACATCACACAATGACATCACTGCTGATGACCAATCACAGGCAGCGAGACAGGTCTCAGGTCTCCCTCTCTCTCTTCAAGTGTGTCTCTCTTTCTTCAGGTGTCTCTCTCTGTCTCTCTCTCCCTCTTCAGGTGTGTCTCTCTCTCTCTTTCTTCAGGTGTCTCTCTCTCTCTTCAGGTAAATGGTAAATGGACCTGTACTTGTATAGCGCCTTTCTAGTCTTCCGACCACTCACTTATCAGTGATGGTAAAGTCCATCGAACAGAAACTAACTCATTCATACACATTCACACACCGATGCATCAGGAGCAGTTTGGGGTTCAGTATCTTGCTCAAGGATACTTTGACACGTGGCAGGAGGAGCCGGGGATCGAACCGCTCTGCC